TTTTTTTTTTTTTAAAAAAAAAAGTAAGAGAGAATGAATTTACCGGCGGAATGGTGAGTGTATTAAGATATTGCCCTGGTTGTGGTTATTTTTTTTTGAAGAGAAAAGGGTGTCTGTTGTGCCTACTAGATGGTTTGAAGTGTGCTCTGATGATGATTGGCGTTGTTACATTAGATCCAGCGAAGAGGAAAGATAAAATCAAGATGGAGACACTGGTTGCAGTTGAACTGGATAAAAGAAATCGAGGAATTATGAGGAAGAAAAGTACGACTGTTGGAGGAAAGAAAAGTCTGAAGATCGTAACGTACCCTGTAAGAGTTGCCGGACTATCGGCGGTGATAGACAGAACGTTTCATGTGGAAAGGGAAATGAAGAAGGGGCTAGGCACTGTTAGTTTATCTTTAGCAACGATTGAAACTGCTGTTGTGTACATGGAAAGGAGCAAATGCAGCAATTCTTTCGTAATAGCAGTTTCCCCAGTCCAGATATTGCTGTCTCCTGTAGTCATCAAATTCCACCTAGACTGCTCCCTCTCAAAGATCAATCATCATGTCCTCCCGTCTCATCATCCCCAAGATTCATATCCACATCCGACCCAGCACCACCTAACCTTTTTCTCCCCCTTCCCCTCCCAGTATAACTTATCCCCGCCTCCCTCTCCCTCTTCATCAGATCCCCTCCTCTCCACCCCTTCCGCACCTTAATCGGCTGCAAAAATCCATCCAAATGCACACCTTCCTCCATCTCATCCATACTGTCTTGATCATCATCCCCTGCTCCTCCAACCACAGAACCCGCCGGAGAAGAAGGTGGACTCCGTCCATGAACGAGCTTCAAGTGTCGATGCATATTCGCTCTCCTCCCGAAGCCCTCAATGGCTCTCTCGCAGTCTGGATACGGACAGAAATACACACCCCCTCCAGCCGCGGGCGTGACTGAACGTCTCCGCACTCTGAGCCCGCCGCTGACGCCGGGTGCGGGTGTGCCAGCCCTTCTGGCTCTGCTCCTGCTCCTGCTCCTGCCCCAGGCCCGGCTTGCGCTTCCACTGCGCTCTGTTCCGGCTTCTGAAGCAGCAGCTTCGACACCCTCCATTGCCTCTCCATCTTCCTCTTCCTCCTCGTCGGGAGAAAGCGTCCTCACAAGACTCGGCTGTCTACTCACCGTCCTCCTCTGCTCCAATTCGATATCGGTCGTGTCCGTCTCCGAGTCCGAAGATTCCGGAACAGGATCACCGGGCCGGTACGTTGTGGTCTGGGTACGCTTGGAGGAAGAAGAAGAAGAAGAAGAAAGGGTATGCATCGTCATCTCCTCCCCGAAAAGATTAGTGCACCTCTGTGTCGCGCGGGCAATCACGCTCTGAGGAAACCCAGCCAGGGCAGCTGCGCCCAGCACGTCACGCCAGTCGCGGAGGCCAGCGTGCGACGCGTTCCTGGCGGTCTTTTTCTTGGACGGCGGTGAGTGCAGTAGTGTTGCTGGTTACGCTTCGGCTTCGGCTTCGGCTTCTGTTCCGATCCTTGGTGTGACGTTTTGTTGTTGCCTTCTTGGAGGGCATTTGGTACGACTTGGGCGGTTCGGCTTCGGTATCGGCCTCGGAGGCTGTTTCGTCACCGTCATCGTCGTCATCGGTAGTGTGAAAAGAAGAAGCCGCCCGGTTCTTTCGAGACAAGGAGGGTATCCGCTTGTGAGTCTCGCGGGCGATGCGATCGAGCATTTCCTCTTCCGTTTCGCCCTCGAGAGGGATGCGTATTTTTCGTTTGCGCCCTCGCTTGCTGGTTGATCGCGGATTTGATTTGGACTCATCCGCGGATGGGGATGGGGATCGAGCTCGTCGTCGTCCTCTTCTCGTGCGCTGCTGCTGCTGCTGCTGCTGCTGCTGCTGCTGTCGGGAAGGTCCTTCTGTCTCGGCTTCATTGTCGTTGTCTTCGGTGTCACTAGCAGAAGACTCGGAGAGGTCGCGGAGACCAGCAACACGGGCGTTGTGTAGGATTGTCAAGGTTTCGTCCAGCTTGGAGAGAATGCGTCGCGTTGCGGGACGAAGTAGCTTGTAGGACCTGTCGTCATCAATTGACGGGACAGGAACGTAGGTAGGCGTGGGGGCACGAGGACGGCGTTGACGTGAGGAGCTGAGAACCTGCGAAGAGGAGCCATTCTGCTTACTGCTCTCATCTTGAGAGAGAGGCTCGCCTTTGACCGGGCTCGAGAGTGGTACGCTATACCGGGACGACTCGTCGTTGCGCCGTGATGACGGGCTAAATAGCAACTGACTAGATTCGGCGTGGTGATGATCAGGGTCGTTGTCGCCCGTTTCTATCGAGTCGACAACGCCATCGTGCCCTTCGCCCACTGCCTGTTCATCCTCGTCGTCTTCTGCCGGGAACCCTCTGCCTCGGAACTTTTCCTTGGCACATCGTAGAATTGTCGCTGAAATTTCTTCCTCCAGGTTCTTGCTTGGGAAAGTCTGGACGGCCCCACGCAGCGTGAAATCCTCGTGCTCGTCTACGGTCCGGGGAAGGAGCTCATCATCAACCACCTCACCAGTCTTCAGTGGCCAGGCCGTCCATCGGTGGCTCGGAGCCCACTCATTCTCCCTGGGCCGTGGGACCTGCTCATCTTCACTTTGATCGTTGATTACCTGAGCATGGTTAGCTTCATGTGCTATTTTGGATCGCCCCTGTTAACAAAACTCACCTGTTCAGTCTTCTGCCTTTTTACTCGTGTTTTCAGGGCATGTGCGTTGTAGAGATGCGCTGGCAAGTCTCGCCTGCGCAAACCCTCTAACGCTTGGTAGGCTTTTCTTTCCTGCGCAGTGAAGGTGAGCCAGGTGGAGGGGGGACCATTCCACCGATTAGGGCGGGTTTCGTGCAGTTCGTCTGAGGCAATCGAATTGATCTCTTCGGTGTCCTTATCCCAATCCTCGTCTTCGGATTCTTCTTTCGTGTAGGTAGACATTTTGTTGTTGTCAGTTTAGTGGGTGCCGTGCCAACGTCGGGCAGGGTTGTTGTTTGGTGCAAATTCTGTGGTGAACAAGGAGTGACAAGAGCGTGAAGGCAGAAGAACCGCACTGACGCTGGTACACATCCGTTCTTTATAACCACATGCATGCAGATGTGAAGAAGAAATTCTGCGAATTACCCGTCCTTTTCTCTCGTGCTCTCACTATTCGCTCGTCCTGTTTCGAGTGTGTTTAATCTTTTTTCTCTGGGGTGCTATCGCCTCGTTCGTAGCGATCCCTAACCCTCGGAGCAAAGTCTCGTAGGCTCGTTTTTCAAGTCACGATCACGTTCACAATTGGATCAATGAGGAACGATGAATATGGTTCAAAACTTGTCAATCAATTACACAAAGAAAAAATGAGCCTTTGGTATCCCATTCCAAAACATCAAGTGCTAAAAATTACGCCTTGCCAGTGTTTTAACCTTACGCCTTCTGCGCCTTCTCCTTCTCTAGCTTTCTCCTCTTGGCGCGGAGTTTCTCGTCCTGAGCGCTCTTCTTGTTGTTGGTATACTGCATCTGCTCAAACAGCTTGCGCTTCTTCTTGCTAAGCATGCCCTTGGCGCGCTCAAGATCCTCGGCCTCCTCCTTTGCCTTCTTTTCAAGGGCCTTGCGCTGCTCTAGCTTGGACTTGGTCTTGGGGTCTACCTTCTTGTTCTGCACCTTCTTGCCTTGGAGCTCGGCTTCCAGCTCAAGCTGGCGCTGAAGAGTCTTGGATTCCTCCTCATCCTCCTCAACATCTCCCTCCTCGTCCTCCTCGACATCCTCTTCGGCATCCTCCTCCTCCTCATCGTCCTCGGCTTCGTCGACATCCATGTCGTTCTCGACATCGGAGCCCTCCTCAGCAGCACCATCCTTAGCATCCTCGAGGTCGGCCTCGATGGCCTCGGCCTCGGTTTGCTGAGCCTCGAGGGGCAGAGTAGGATCGTACTGGCCAGGAGCGGCCTTGACGAAGGGGCTAAGATGGGGAGGGAGAGCGGCGCCGGGAGCATAGAGCTCAGGGCTCTTGAGCTCCTCGTCGTTGACGCAATCCCACACCCATTGGGGCTGGACGTATATCCTGCCGGGGTATCTCTGGTTGGGACCGACCTTCTGGGCCGTCTGGTTGTCCTCGCCATCGCCCTCCTCACTGGTAGCGGCTTGTACGACCGGCCTGTCAATGATGTGGTGGGTGATGGAAGAATCCGACTCGTCGTTTGTAAAAGCACCCTCGCCGAGAACGGAATCCCAGCCTATCCTCTTGCAGCCAAAGGCACGGAGAATGAACTCGAGAGGCTGGCGGGGGGTCTCACGGGAGAGATAGAATGTGAAGTTGGCGAACAGCTGCGAAGGATCAGTGCCGCTGTACGCCGGCTGAGGAAGAACATCGCCACCAGGGGCAACTGGCTCGAACTTGTCGATAGAATCTGTGGGCTTCTCCTCATCGTCGGCCTCGGCATCTTCCTCGGCAGTCTCGTCGGTCTTGGACTCGTCCTCCTTCAATTGCTTGATAATCTTGTCAACCTCAGCCTGGACCTTGGGGTCAACCTTCTGTTCCTCTCCGTTGGTGATGGCCTGGGTGGTCTCGCCCTGGGTGGCCATGTTGACACCCTCGAGGGAGAAAGCGCCGAGCTCAGCCCCGTTCTCGTCCTTGAGCTGGTCGAACTTGGGAGGATACTTGAGGCCGATCGAGCTGTAGAGTCTGTAGTTGACGAATCCGAGAAGAGTCATGTAGAACTCGACGAAGGTGCCCATGATGCGGAAATCGACATCGCCGACGATCCTCTGGTTGAACTTGTAGGGAACGAGCCAGAGGATGTCCTCGCCCTGGATGTTGGCCTGATAGTAGATACCCTTGATCGACAGGAACGACTTGCGCAGGCTGTGAGAGACAATAAGGTAGTGTTGGAACTCGAGGCAGAGGCGCTCGCAGCGGGCGATCATCTTGGCGGGGACCGCGCTCGTGGAGGGGAGGTTGGCGAAGAGGAAGAGCATGGACAAGCAGTCATCGAGATCGCGAAGCGCATCGTTGAAGGTCGGGTAGCGCTCGCGGATGATGTGGTTGAGAGTGTACCTGGGCTTGCCGGTGGCCTCGGGGCGGGCAGCATGGCGCTCGAAGCGGGCGGCATCCGAAACATCACCTCTGCCGAGAGCACGGGAGATCTTCTTCTCGAGGACCTTCTGGTCACGGAACTTTTGAAGAAGCGGCTCGTGGAGGAGGTACTGGATGTCCTTAGTGTAGTAGAAGGTGGTCGAGGCAGTGACCGACTTGGTAACCTTCTTCTTGTTACGGGGCTCGCGAGGGTAGATACCCTTCCAGATGCAAAGCTTGCGGAAGTCGGGAAGACTGAGTTGCAGCTTCTTCACAGCCTGTGTGCGAGTGATGTAGTTCTTGGCCGCGCCGGCCTGGCCCTTTTTCTTGATTTTAGGCATTTTGGTATGTGGTGGTTGTGGTTGTTGGGTGTAGGTGGAAGAGTGAGAGAAGGAGAGGAAGTCCAAGGATGGATCTCTTCTGTAGTGTCTGCAGACTCGATCACTATCGAAAGCCAATTGGGGGTGGGGCGCTTGCACTGCAATCAACTTTTTTCTGGTCGTCGCAGTGCCTAAACTTTTTATGCCGTATTCCACCGCCTGAGCTGATAAGATTAGATAAGAGTAGTGGATGGAGATGATGCTACGGTGGGTCAGTCTGGATTCTGGAGAACCCTTGCCCCACCAGGAGGACCCGCCAGCTGTGGAGGCCAGCTGTCAGTCCGCCCCGGGGACAGCGATGACAGGGCAACCTACCTGAACCTGAACGTGCTCGACTCCTGTTTAGCGCAGCGTGCATGCCGTCAACTTTCATTGAAGACATCACAGCTCTCACCTTCGTCGTATGGCGAATTGAACAATGAATGGCGGCAAGGTAACGTTGGGGAGGACGGCTGGCTTATACGCCGGTGCTGCCGTCCTGCGACTTGCCCTTTTTACTTTGTTTCCCGGTCTCCCAGACCTCCTGACTGGCCGTGTCGAGATCTCAACGCCAGTGACAAGCTTCAAGCGCCGTATGTTGTAGCTCTTTGAATATGTCTCCAGCCTCATTGTCTGGATGAAAAACAACAGGTTTGCTAACTCCACGAATACAGTCCAAGAAGGCCTCTTTCTTTATAACCATAATGTCTCTCCTTACGATGGCGGCGTCTACCACCAGGCGCCCCTCTTGCTGCCCATCTTCAACCTGCTCCCGAGCTTCTCGACGTTTCCCATCTTCACCTACCTTCTCTACATCGCTGTCGACATCTTGAGCGCCGATGCTCTTTTAAGGATCGCAGAGTCCGGCGAGGCTGGTTCGTCGGCCCGCTTCACCTCCCCACGCCGTGACAAGCGCTGGAGTGGTGCCGTCGTCGCCGCGCTGTTCCTGTTCAACCCTTTCACCATTGCGACATGCATTGGCCGTTCGACCACCGTCTTCACCACCTGTGCCATTCTCCACGCCGTTGCCAATGCCATCTCCGGCCGACACTTCCACGCCATGGTCGCCCTGGCCTTTGCATCCTACCTATCCATGTATCCGCTACTACTCCTCCCGCCTCTCATTCTTCTCTGCTACGACAGGCAGAAGCAACCTGCTAGCGGAGCGCCCAATGCGTGGATCAAGTTCGCCGTGGCCATGGTCATGGACGTTTTCGGTGCTCTGGCCGTGCTTTTTCAGATGTCCTTCTTCCTTACCGGCTCATGGGAGTTCCTCAGTTCCACCTATGGCGTGCAACTGACACTGTCTGACCTGGCCCCCAATATCGGTTTGTGGTGGTACTTCTTTGTCGAGATGTTCGACTCGTTCCGTTCGTTCTTCTTGGCCGTCTTCTGGCTGCACCTGTCGTCATATGTTGGCGGGCTGAGCGTGCGCCTTCGCCAGCAGCCGCTCGTGGTGATCACTCTGCTGCTGGGTATTTTCAGCATCTTCAAGCCATACCCGAGCATCGCGGATGCGTCGCTGTTCTTGGGTATGGTGCCGCTGTATAGACATGTCTTCCCGCTGCTGCGGTATTCGTTTGTCATTGCCGCCATCATCATCTATGCGACTTTCCTCGGCCCTGCCTTCTATCACCTTTGGATTTATGCCGGTAGCGGAAACGCAAACTTCTTCTATGCTATCACGCTGGTTTGGGGCCTTGGACTTAGCTTGCTGGTCTGCGATCTCGCCTTCGCCGTCCTTAGGGATGAGTGGGAGGTTGAGCGGCCTGAAATGGTCGGCAAAGAGATTCGGCAGATTTGAGAGGGTCGAAACAGACACAAGGGCACATGTACCATAACAGTTTTATACGTTTATATACAGTATCGCCGTTGCACCTGAACGGATGAAAGTTAAAACACATGGAAGTTTAAACAGATGAAAGGCCCAATGCGGCCCCTTCGCTGAATCCAAATATGGCAAATATCGGGACATCGACAATCACTGCATCATAGAGACTCCCCATAACCATATCCCTTCAAGCTCGGTCTCGTGCTCATTCCCCTCGTACCACACTCTCTAACGTTCATATTCATCAATTGAACACCATCTCCCAGCAGGGTAAACGTCCCTTCCTTTCTCGTCAATCTCTTGCTTGCTTGCCTTTTCTCGCTTGCATCGCAGCCAGCACCGCACCCGCATGTCCCCCCTCGCCCCCTCAGCCGCTAATGCATACACACCTCACCTGCCCGCTTCGTCATACCATGCCATGCCATACATGTCATGTCATTTATAGCTTACCTCTTTGTGCCATTCTTCCAGCCCACAAGAAGTGTGAGGGCCGTTGGCGCAGTGGTCAAACACGCAGCCCTTCGAAACTCTCTCACCACCTCTCCCTCCGTCAGAGACTCTCACTGAGAACCACGAGTGACCGAACAGCAAAGTCCATACACACATGCTCTGGAAGAGCAAGAACTCCAATGTCAAGAAGAAGATGGGACGCGAAAGAAAAGTGTCCCGATGACAAAGAATGGATCAAATCATGTCCCAAACGGATGGTTTCGGGGTGGCCACCGCAGAGAGGGAAAGAAAGAGGTCCGGAAAAAGACTCGTGTGTAATGAAGAGATGCCTAGTAAGACCCTTGGGGTGAGAAGGAGGGTTGCTGAGGGAGGGTTGGCGCGAGGGTCGTTCAGGCTGAGGTTACCGGTTCGAGCCTGGTGCGGTTCAATGATCACTTCACTTTTTGCACCTTTGGGAGGATATTGTAGAACTGTCTGTGATTGTGACCGTCAATGGTATCTATTTTCTCCTGTTCTTTTTACCTCTCTTCTTCCTATTGCTAGATGGGATTAGTTATATGCTGCTGAATGGCATTAGTTGCACATGGGCTTTCAAATGCGTCGGTCGTCTGTCTCATGGGGAATCATTTCCTTGAGCAACTTCCCCTCGAATTGTTCTTTCCCCTTCGGCTATCGATCACCCACTGTGGTATCATTCCAAGTTCTCATCATAGGTACATATCATACACTCCCCTAAGGTTCCCGAAGCCTCAACGTCTTCATACAAGACCAGCAAACATGGCTCCTGCCGCTCCGAAGCTGCCCAAGCCCACCAGCGGTTTATGCCATGTCTGCAAAGGCGCACCCAGCAACCCTCGGTATCGGTACCAGTAAATGCCAAGGCCGACTACGTTGAGAGCCAGCATCGTCAAGCCGACACCAGCTAGCAAGATACTGCGTTCGTTCTCACCAACGCTCCTCCTTACCACGAGTTGTGACTCGGTAGAGGTCTCCTCAGCTACCCTCCTTTGCATCAACGACCACCACCTACTCCATTCCCGTCCAAGCGTTGGGATATCGTCAACCACGGCCCTGACAAATCGCCCGACAATACTGAGCGCCGAGTCAGAGGCACTGACGGCAGGATCACTCTCTTTATCGGCCCACGGCAGCACCTTGCCACTCTCGGGGAACGTCTTCCTCCTGCACTCCACCACAAACGCGCATAACCCGACATACTTCCTCTGTAGCACCTCCCTCAACCAAGGTCTGGGTACCTCAGGAAGCAGCATGAGCGCCAGGTAAGCAAACGCCAGACACTTGGTCTCCAGCGTCACCTTTATCCTTCCACTTCCACCATCTTTGCTGTCCTCCTTTCCCTTCCTCGTCCTCTTCCAGGAAATCAATTTCCCCAAGGACATCAAACACCTCCGCCGCCAAGCCCTCCAGCTTGATCCTCCTCTTCATCTCCGGGCTCAACTGCCCCTTGACACCGGTATTCTGCCCACCGACCGCCTTCCTCAGCGCCTTTGGGATCTGCACCCAACCCGCCGCCTCGCGCTCTCGCTCCTCCTTCTCTAGCCGCTCCATCTCTGCGTCCGTGTCCAGGCTGCTCATGCCTAGATGCGCCGCGCGCGCAGCCATGGCGGCCCGCACGGCGAGCGGCTCGGCCCATGGAAGAGGGAAGGGGAGGATGGCGCTGTAGGCGGGCCGGGTGATTTCGGAGTAGTTGGCCGAGGAAACGTAGAGGGACAGGGCGAGGAGCGGGGCGGCCGACGAGGCCAGCAGGGCCTTGTAGGCATGGGAGTCGGCGTGGACGCGTGGGGGGAGGGTGGTGACGTCAGGGTGGTGGTAGGATGGTGGTTGAAGGGTGGAGAGGTAGGAGACGATGGGGTCGAAGCCGGACGTCCATGTTGCCGTGGAGGGGTTGTAGAGGGCCGGGAGATGATCTGTATCGAGATTGATGGCATTTAGTCGTTAGTTTGAGGGAATTTGCCATGGGGAAACCGTACGAGAATGAGATCACGCCCGGAGGAAGGATGGGGCGCGACACTTGCTGGCACATGGGGGAAATTGGACTGGGGGTTTGTCTGAGATGCGACTGGTTGAATGTCACTGGGTACGGGTATCGATGAGCTTACAGGATGGGACGGCAGAGGGACTGCTCTGTACAAGCAGGTAGTCGGCGGCACTCAAAGTTTGCGCAAAGTACGTAACTGTCGCAAGGCACTCGGCGTCGATGGAGGGGAGGCCGAAAGCCGGACCCCAGACATGGAGCTCTAGCGTCATTTGTTTGCTTCGGAGGGTCAGGTAGGGATTGGGAATAGCCTTATAGGGATGGGATATTTGCGTTGATGAATGGGCGGTTGTTGTTGGACCTGGCGGTGTGTATCGCGGGGTTTGCCAAATGCCGATGGGTTGTTGGAAGATGGGGGATCGAAGCTCTGCCGAGATTAATGAGATTACGACAGAGACGTTACCCCAGACGCACAATGTGGATGCCTGATAGCGATTTATCAATGGGTTGTAATTTGAGAAAATGAGAAGGATCGGAATGTTTTCAGTCGTCTATTGGTCGAAACCCCGGTATGATGGTGTCTCTTATTGAGTTAGGCTGAAGCTATCGCAAGGTTAGAAGCGGGACGTGACAAGCCCTCCTTGTCGCCCAGCTCCCGCTGTCCTCATCCGCAAATTCCTGTCCCGCATAAGTCGCGAACTCACGTGTAGATAAGATAAACCCCCTTTTTCCACTTCCCGTCCACTTTCAGGGGAAGAGAGCACGAACCTTGGCCTTGTAAATGTCCCTGCCATTTCACTGAAATTGCCTGCGGCAACAGTGACCTGATGATCGACGTCCCTTTTGCGCCTCGGCTGTCACATTCCCACATCGATTGCAGTGCACAACCTCGAAATCGACCATTCACAACGGACACAAAGGGGACAGAAGCGGGTAACGGGTATGCCCGACTCCCGCGAAATCCAGAAGCGCAGGAAGGCAATCCAGCCAGTCATAAACCGATTTTCAACTTTCTTTTCATTTCACAACATGTGTTGCGCACGTGTGTTGTTTCTTCTTGGAAATGCTCTCTCATCCTCCTGATTTGTCAATTCAACCACCAGGAGACAAGGGAGAAAAATTATGGGTTTTCCCTTCGTGCATGAACATGCGGATACTGTTCGAATCGCAAACTCTCCGATGGAATTCCACTCTTTGAAAGCACGACAACAAAGTCATCAACATCCCTGCTCCATCTTGCCCTTCCCATCTGGGAATCTGTTTCGTTGGAGATGGGGTCTTTTTTTGGAATGTGATAGTTACGCCGAGAAAGAAAATAGGATCATGTTGATGCAGCAATCAATCATCCCATTCCCATCGGTATCGGCAGCTTCATTGTCTCCGACGTCTGAGACACACCGCACCATTTGTCAACCTCCACCTTCTCTTTGTTTTTTTCTCTCGTCATTCCTCGTCATTATCGCTATCTTTCCTATGTCGTGCCCGTCTTGTTCGGATATGCATCTCCGACGGTGCAACTTGCAAATCTGCATCGGGGTATCGGCGTGTCGGAATCGGAAAGGTGCGGGTTTGAACTCTGTGACTGAGCGCGCCCATAATGGTTGTGGATCTCTACTTTCCGACGTGCATGCCCGAACAGCACTGAAGAGGTACCCAGGTTGCCATCCGCGATTGCTTCGAGTTTAGCACCTTCTCCTGGTCTCCTCCAGAGTCTGACGCGATCATACAATGGCAAGTGAGATCCCGAAATAATCTATGACAATTCACTCAAATCAAACTTTGTTGAGTCGGAGAGAAAAGGATGGACGGTGAAATATTACGCTGCTCACGCAATTACACTACGCAAAGGTTTGAAACACACTCCTATGAGCATCAGTTCCCTTTCGGTCATGTCGGAACAGAACTTGTGTGCGACCAGTGAGGATCTTGTGTTTTTAGTGTTTTCGCCTCTGGTTAATTTCCTCCTTGACCCTACATATGTAGGTGTTCTAGTGCATACAGTGTACACTACGTTACATACACCTCTGCATGGATGTAAAATGTTAGCTTGGTACGTTGACCAAACAGGAAACAGGGGCGAACTACTGGCCGAACTAGAAATTTCTTGTGTGAAATTTAAAGTTCTCACCACCAGCAGAAAAACACGCTAACATTTTATATTCATGCAGAGGTGTACATTGAATACTCCCCTTTCTTGCGCCGCACATACTTAGCCACATGCTGCCACGCTGCCTTCATGTCAGGTACGCGAAAGCAGCAACGGGAAGGATCGGACTCCCTTCATTGGACGGGTCACATTTGAGGGGTTGAGAAGACCATCACCACTTGGCTTTGTCACGAAGCAGCTACTATAGCATCATTATTACGATGGCAATACCATTACAACCTATATGCTAAGGTTCGTAAGAAAGGGAGAAATGTCGTTACGAATACGACACTGTCTTGATGAAACTTCCCCATATCGTGCACTTCCTATACCCGTGTGACCAAGATCTCGCTGGCCAAGCCACCAAAGAGCCATGGCGCGCAATGCGCGGCTACCAGGATCGTCTCTTGTCCACGCGATCGATATCAAGAATCAAAACCAGAGAAATGAAGGGAGGGAAACTTCAGGAACGCGGGGGAGAGGAGGGGAAGGTAGTATGGATGGACGGCGAAGATCTTGGAAGGTTGAACTGACGATGAAGACACCAAGATGAGGCACGGGATGATGGAGGGGAAAGGATTGTCTATGCCATGCCGCATTGCCATGCGACAGAGGTGAGATGCGATTGGTTGCGCCTAAATGGACTTTTGATCAAGAGATCATCATGTCCGTCTCCTCCAAGCTAAAAACCGGGATGAGGTGCATAGAGATCGCGTTTCATCAAGACTGCAAGACAAGAAAAACGATTGTCGTGTACTGTACACGCAACCAATACCAAACCACGTGAAGAGACAGTGATGGGTCTTCTTGACGGTACCTATGGAGAAGATCGCGACACTGACACCGAGGTAAGGATCGGACACTTTAAGCGCGGTCTCCGTGACTTTTTTTTTCTCGGCTGCCATTGTTACCGTGTTTTTGTTGACTTTGCCCAGCAGATCAGCTCCTCCCCTTCATTTTACACGACCCTTCCTTGGTAAGCTGAGGCCAAGACCAATGTTGCGCGGTATCATCACCAACTTGGAGTGCCAAGAAGACAGAGTCTCCTCTTTCTTGAATTGAGATGGGATGCGTTCGGCAACGCGGCTGCGCTAAAAGACATAGGGGGAGGGGATACCCTCTCGATGGGGAAAGGAAAGAAAAAGTTCCTGTCTTTTACACACGATACCACAACAAAGGCGTGGGACGGAAACGAAATACAATATTCGGACAGGCTGCTTCACAGGCTTGCCGCATTGATAAGCCGCAACACCGTCCTCCGAACAATGTCGTCTTGGCAGCAGTTTTGTGTGCCATCGTGAGGTGGTATCCATAGCCGAATACTGGGCGGTTTTTCGTGTTCAAGATTCAAAGCCTCGCTCGCTTCTCCACCTCTTTGAGGAAGCTACAGGAGAGGTAGGGTGGTAGAAAGCAGGCGGACGGGTTGTGGTATGTAGCAATGTAAACATTGAACGGACATCGTCCGGCGGTTTCATCGGAGATCCTCCGTGATTTGTAAAAGTCAAAGTAACGGAATGGTTGACGACAAGTGAAGTAACCTTGAAGTCTATAGAAGCTGACAACACTTACAGTATGTTGGTAACCCTCTCTCTGCATACCTAACACTACAGGATCCCTTTGCATTTGCTAGCGTGAAAAGAAAGAGACAATTGGCTTTGTTTTCCCCGGAGGTGTATCAAACACCGAAGATCTCGCTCCGCTGGCAATGTCTTTCTCTGAAGGGTCGAGAAAGTCTCAGATCTCCTCCTTTCAATCGGCGACCATATCTGAAAATCTGAGTCTGTCTTTCAGTTCGGTCTCCCGTACTCGCCGATATACCCCATCTTGCCATTCTTGCATCTGCCCATTGCTACCTCGCGAATCAAGCTACAGCAGCAAAAGACTCCATCCAGATCAACAATTCCTTGCTTTTGCGCGCTTTGATCCTAGTAGCTTTCGTCCTTCGTCGCGTGTGTCCTTATCTTTACCATCGCGAAATCCCGAGGCTGGTGTTGATGAAGAAGAAATTTTTTTCTTTTCGTATGAGTCGATGGTTGCTTGTTCAGCCCATGCTTCCCGTCGTGCCCATCTCCGAGAAGTCACCAGGGCCAGCAGATATTTTCACTTTGACTCCATATTAATGATGTAACCGGAGCTGGGACCAGGTCTCGACCTCGCCCGAGGCCAGTCGCACATGAGTGTGGAGATATCCCTTGGCTTTTTATTTTCATTTTCATTTTCAGAAACTGTGACCTGGTCCCACCAGATGAACTCCCCCACTTTCCGTGAAGACAGGCGGAATTCAATCTGAGAGGAGAGGAAAAGAAAGGGGATGAGGGGGGTTACGAACACATGAACGTCATCCAGTTCATGGAGTTGTAAGAGAGCGATCTCGGTCTCGATTTGTGATCGAGGGGCGGGTGGACAAATTCGTGTTTCATTAAGGATCATTTTGATCTCAGAATTGTGGGCGCAGGAGCGAAGACGTGTCAATCAAATCCCTGTTCTCCTCATCCAGATGCATACGTATTTCACATAATCAAGAGCCAAAGAGAATTCGCATGATGGTCGATCATTAAATGATTGTGGTATTCGGATGGTTGAAACCAATCCGTTCAGAGAGTGAGGCACTCGAAGTGCTCGTGGTATCAAGTTGTGGTAGTACATGTGAATGTCGGTAGACCGACTACAGAAAAACACCTTCCCAATGAGTTCCCAAACCCGCCCAGAAACCTCCTCCCAATTCCTTCCATGCCCCCCATTACCCCCCAGCCAATGCCCGTACCGGCGACCATGATGATGTCTGACGCCGATGCCCATATGCTCCCATAGTGATAGTGATACAATTCCCAAAAACAAAAACAAAAAGTGTGGCGTTCGCAATGCTCGTTGAAGTCGTCATTCCAAATCGGAAGAAATAGCGAGAGTAGTCGTTGATTAAAAGGTTGGTATTATGTGGTGGTACAATGTCGAAATGCAAGACTCGCGCCAGCTGGATCCGGGGCTCAAGCTCGCGGGTGTTGGTGGTTGAAGTACCCGCGAGCTCGGCTGGTAGATTGTGTTCCAAAAGACTGAATAAGTGGTGGTAGCCATCGTGATGCGACAGGACATGTCGCGGTGGATTGATTCATGAGCCGAAGAACGGCT